AGCGCAACGGGGAGGAGCGGGGCGGCTGCGCGCACGCGCCCGGCGCCACGGCGGGAAAAACAATAAAAACCAAGGACAAAAGAGCGCTCCTATCTCCCCGTCGGGGAATCGAACCCCGGTCTCCCGCGTGACAGGCGGGGATACTCACCACTATACTAACGAGGAGTGCGGCACCTTGCTTCCTCGCGGGTCTCAGAGGCCGCGGCAGCGTGCCGAGCTCCGCGGCAGCACTGCGCTCCGCGGGCGGCGCCCCGCAGCACCCGCCGCGCTCCTCGTTAGTATAGTAGTGAGTATCCCCGCCTGTCACGCGGGAGACCGGGGTTCGATTCCCCGACGGGGAGGCAACGGCGCTGCCATTTTCAGCGAGAAGCAAGGAGAAAGGGCAAAAAAGATATCCTTTCGTGGTCCATTTAGCTGTGCCTGCGAAAGTGGAGTTTGCTGTAAGCACAAGTTTTGTGAATTGTGCTGGAAACAGGCTGGAGGGAAAACAAGTTTCGATTTCAGTGTCTCGTTTGCTGTTTTTTGAACATTTGTGCGTTGGTCGCGAACACACTCTGACATCATCTGAGACGCTGTGATACCGTTAGCATGTGACCCCCTAGACATGTACGCGACGCGTCATTTTAAAAGTAACAAAAAAAAAAAAAAAAAAGGACGCCGAAAGGACGAGAGTGCCGGAAAGGCCGCTGGCGCCGGCGCGACCCGCTGCGCGCGTCACTGCACAGCCTGAGCAGAACGGCATCTGGCGGGGCCGGTTAGCTCAGTTGGTTAGAGCGTGGTGCTAATAACGCCAAGGTCGCGGGTTCGATCCCCGTACGGGCCAGTTATTTTGATGCCTTGATAGAGGGAACCGGTTGGATTTTACTGTTTTTGCTGTTGTGTCTCCTTTTGTCTCCTTTTGCTGCCAATTCAGGTGCTCCCTAGGAAGAAGAGAAAAACGCACTTTAAAGCTCCACAGTCGAATGCGGATAGTCTCCCTGAGGAGCTGCAAGTGGTTCCCACAGATAGCCACACGGTCTGGTGCTGCAGAGCGGACCGCAAGACTTTTTCAGGGATAAAAAAAAAKAGTCTAATTAYCTGYACTCCTCGTTAGTATAGTGGTGAGTATCCCCGCCTGTCACGCGGGMGACCGGGGTTCGATTCCCCGACGGGGAGGCGGTATTGTGTTTTACCGCCCYGCCAACTGCTAAAGGCCTCCTCAGGCTGCCACGAAACGGCCTAACGGCCGCCCGCAGCAACCGTTGGGGCCGCGGAGGCGGCAGCTCCGCGCAGAGCAGCCGGCCCTGGTTATGGGTATGGCCGAGCATGCTGCACGGGCAAAGCCAGCTCCTAAATCCGCACCACAGGGGGGGACCTCACTTAGGACACCCTTAGCCCACTGGAAGCCCAAGTGTTGAACAAACACATTCCACTCCTGTAATGTTTGAGCCAAAACTGAATCAGCCCCCAACACTTCAAGCAACCAGCCTGTGACTGCTAGGAGGTTGCTTTTTTTTTTTTTTTTTTTTTTTTTTAAGTCTTTAGAGTTTCCTGTTACCAATTTTCGTACTATTCTCTCTTATAGGTAGAATATCCAATTTTAAACTAGCTTCAAAAATATCTCTAGGGACAGTGATCACTTGCACAGAAATATTTCCTCTATCCTCAGGCATGCTGCATTGCTACTGTAACTATTCATTAACATCTACATACTAACACAGATGGACCTTTTATTCCTTAGAATTGGGGCTTTTAAGGTGGAGGTCCAAACTGGCCTGATATCCAAGGAATGGACAGTCCACTGAATGACCACCAACCAACTTGTGCTTCAGAAGGTAGCCCTTRTTTCAGTGCACTATGGTGAAAAACCATGTCCAAGCAAAGGCAAGTCTTACTACATTTTAGAAGATATTTTTGCAGTGTAAATATTTGTAAGATTCTATAGTAACATGTTTTCTTAATAGAKGAAATGATGTGAAACACAGCTTAACATTTTTGCCTGTGTAACTCATAACCACTGCTTAGGTATATTTGTACAATGGACTATACCCAAAAGATTAAAAATAAGAAGCCCTATTAGCTTCTCTGCCACTTTTTCCCATGTAAGTCAGCATGGATGACATCAAAATTGTGAAAAAGGTGGTAATTAACAGAAAGCAGGTTCTAAGGAGGTTTAAATAATACCATATAAACCCTTTATTCTTTAAAAAAATATGTATTTCCAAATCATCATATCTTTTTTCAACTATAAGCTGTGCTATTCAGCACATATTTTGGAAAAAGYGATTTTTTTTTCATGCAGCAACTGCTTTCATTTCACTTGAGTACCTTTCACAGTAGTTCATGATTTTGCAGTCAGACAGAGCAGTTGAGGAAGTTTCGGAAACACACACATTGTTCCTGGGAGCGCATCACCAGCCCTTCACAAGGTGACACAGGAGGGGACAGTAGCAATGCAAGCTCTTYGGGTGGCTCTTAAAGAATTACTTCACATATTTGCAAGCTACGACAAGTCTACATCACTGTTAAGGCACGGAAAAGGGTATAAACAGCTATTTTAAAAATGCCATTGGGTGGCATTCTGAGCTGGTTTGTGGTGGTGTTATTCTTTCTTAATCRCTGAGCATGTGTAATCTGGTCTTCCTCACGCTATGCCTCAGTGCACCCAGTCTTTKGGATTGCGCAGCACTTCCAGGATTTCTGCTTCTCTCGAGTTCTCTGGCGGGGTGTGCATGTATTCCCACCTGCRGGGAGAGGGGAGACAAGCAGTTAAAACTTATGCCCGTCACCCCTTAATCCACGCAGGTTTAGCTGCAGAGATGATTTAACTCTTGTCTTCTGACACACTAATAATGAGGAAGAGGAGTCAAAAAAAAACAAAACAAAACAAAACAAAGGAACTTGCACGAAAGATAGATCACTAGACCTGAGAGAAATTGCCAGCCTCAAATTCTGTCACTTTACCCTGACCCGGAATTTTCTGCTGTCCAGGACACTTCTAGAAGGTGGAAGCACTACCATCCCAGCAGCAGGATGAAGCTGCATGGTGAGAACAGCACTGTCCTCACGGTTAAAGGGCAACAGGCAAAGGTCAGCATTCCTAGTGGAAGGAGACCACTACTAGGAGGCTCCTAGAGCCAGACAAGCAAGCAGTAAAATAGAAGGTGAAATTCACTGTTGAACTAAAGGGATGCACATAGAGAAAAGAAAGCTACATATACAGTGACAGATCGAGTAAATTCTTGCTGCCAGAACGGGTCTTTGCATCAAAACAGTTCTGGAAAAGGCCTCCTCAGTGCTTATCAGTGGAATACAGCAAGCAGTGTATTAGGAGTAATAAAAAGATTAATGAACAACTGCACTGTGCCACTGTAAGAGTTAGCAACACACCTGCCTTTTGCATACACCTAGAGTAACTTTTTTTGTTTTTGTCTGTTCCTCATCATCAATTCAGAAGAAGTATGTAAAATGCAAGTTTGGAAGAAAGCATGATCAAAAGTATGGAACAGCTATCGTACAAGGACTAAGTCAGACTTGCCACCTGAAAAAACAACAATCCTGAAATACAAGCTACTGGAGACAACTAACAGGAAGAAAAGCTGGTTACTTATTAAAAAGACAAATCATCAAGCGCAAATAGAAAACAAAGGCCGCTTTTTCACACAGTGGACAGGGAACTGTGGAACACTCTGCCATGCCATGCCGTGGAACAGTTGTGAGGCCTGTCAGAAGTTCACATGGTTCCAAAGAGCTACTATGCAAAGKTTTTTTTAATTTTGGGGGAAGGTGGAGGAATAGATCAAAAAGTACGAAGCACCAAAATAAAGAAAACAACCCAACACCAAAAAAAGCCCCTTTCTGACAGAAAATATTGAGGACACACGTCGGTATTGGCAGTTGGGTGAGTGCACCTGACCAGAGAAGCACCTGCATATATCTGTCTTATTCTTTCACTAGGCATGAAGTAACCACGGTTAAGAGGCTGGACACCRAGATAAACCTTTGATTTAAGCCCATGAAGTATTTTAAGAAGAACAGCGCCTGCCTGCAACTCCATACCCTCACCTTGCAGTCAGGGGCAGAGACATAAGAATACTTTCAATTCTTGATCCCGGTGTTGCTAGGCCAAACTTTGTTCCTCTGTCGTAAACCAAGTTGAACTCCACATACCTATGGGGAGAAGAGAGAGGTAACACCCGAAACGGGTTGTTATCAGAAATTGCTTAAACCTGCAGCAAATAAAACCAGCCTGTCTTTCTGCCTTGTTCAGTCAGAGAAGGAACATTGCTTTGGGGCCAACTGCACCTTCTATGCTGGGACCTGTGTGTCCCAAAGGTGGTTTTCTGTCCCCAGCACAGGAACAGATCAATGGCAGCTTCAGTAGGCATAATCTTAACAGCCACTGCTGTTCAGCAGAGGCACAGGAGGGGGGAAGCTCTTTATCTGCTTGCAGAAATGGGGAGTTCTCCCTATCCCAATGACCTGAGAAGAGACACAGAGAAATAAGCAGGCTGAGGAGCTCCTGGCTGCAACTTAAAGGGAACCTATTCCCCCTTATATAACCTTACCAGGTTTGTTACAGACTGGATCCTGCAAAGCCCCACAGTCCTAGGAGCAATGCAGTAACTGCTGCAGGACAGTGATCTAAACTTGAATACTCATTTCCTCTCTGTCACTTCCACAGGTTCACTCAGTTTCTCTGCAGGAAAGGCAGAAACAAAGGATTCCCCATTTCTGTACAAAGTACCTATTGATCCTCATTTCTCCATACATCCACATCACCACAAGATACAGAGAGACGGGTGCAATCGTTTAGTCTACCAGTGTAGTCAAGCTTAAGTGCAATACACATTAATAAACAAGCTCTGAAGTTTTTAAACTTACAGTAACTGTGCCAAAAAAAMCAACCTCCCTCATTTACAAGCGCACGTGCACCCCCGTGTCTGCTGCACAGACAAAGCTCCCAGCTTTTGGAGGAGCCCGAGAGGAGCTGTGGCGTTTTGCAAGAGCTGCTCATGCCRCAACACAGGCTAGCGGGGAATACTAGAACATAAATAAAGACAAGGCTGGGCTAGCACCACCTTTGCACCCTCCGTGGCAATGCAGCATTGATATCACCGGCAGTTCTGTACATAAAAGTGTTGCAACTCTCCAGCAGACTTACTCCACATCGTGACACAACACAGAACGCGTGCCAAGTCCTAAGTGCTGCAACCACGAGTAACTAGTTTGACTCTTTCCAGTTTTGGTCCCCTCCCACATGTGACTTGGCTCCTTGGGTACCCACCGCCCCCGGCGCAGCTGTTGCCACAGCTTCTCCTCCGGTGTGAAGGGGTCGTGGCGGTGCTTCTTCACAATGGGAACGTAGCAAGGCACGATGGCTTTGGCACAGCTCTGCACAAACTGGAACACCTCCTCCTTGGAGGGAGAGTCCACGTCGTCAAAGAATATGCCTCCGATCCCCCTTCGCTCGCCACGGTGCTTGATATAGAAGTAGTCATCGCACCTAGGAGGGGCCGCAGACCATTGTGAGTGTGGCGAAACACACAGAAACACAGAGAGCCTGGCAGCACAGGATGCCACTAGAAATACTGATGAAAAGTTAGTTCCCTGCAGCGTGCTGGATGCCGCATTTTCCCACTGACTGCTGGGAGCAAGGAGTGTCCAGGACCACCAAAACGCAGTCCTGCATGCACTTGCACTAAAGCTCAGGTTAGATGGTTGATGCAGAGCATCATTAATCACTGCATCATATCATTAATCRCTGCGTCATTAATGAACACACATGATCCAACATCACATCCGATTCCGAAATAACAGATACTGCCACACAGAGTATTTCAATCCACACCTCTATGAGGAGGAAGATCAGAATTTTACCTTAAAGGCTTCTTCTAGACTTAATGTTAACAGTGGCACAAAAATCCCAAAATATTTGTACAATTTTGGGGTGGAACATGAAAAATATATATTTTTGCCTCAAAACTAAAAGAAGCTATAAACTCAGGACCAGGAAAAAAAGCTACCCCCACCACTTAAGGAAATAAAAAACTGTGGCAGTCTTCTCTGGAGGGAAGCTTTTTAATGGTTAATCTTGAAAGATGGAGACATTCCACCAGTGGATGATGGAATCACTCACTTCCAAGTGTATGAGAGAGTTAAGTGCAGGTTTTATGAGGAAGCACTTAATTTTATAATTACCGAGAGAAAAGTGTGTAGGTGTGCAATTACTGTAAATTAGCTCATTCATTGTATCCGTTCCCTCTTTGCCTTGCTTGGGCAGCCATGCCCTCCCCTGCAAGATGGAGAAGGAAAGCAGTAGGTAAAACCCACCAACAGCAAGGAAACTCTGCTTTCGTTTAGCACGAGCCTCTCATACATATATTGACCCACAATCAACACCTCTCAAGTAATATAAATGGTATAACTATACAGCAAGAGAGGTGGAGACATCACAGATAATGTAAGGGGTTTTATTACTATTAGTCACGGGGAGAAATGGCTTGTTATTTTAGGACCATAGGAATAGTTAGGAAATAAAGGTGCTAGGATTGAAAAAATTGCCTTTGTCAGTGGAATATAACGTCGTCCTCCCCTAAGCTGCCCTCAGACTAAGAACAGAAGTCCTTCTGTCCAGCTAAAGCATAAGGTGTTTGGCTTTGACAGCTTACTGCTCTGCAAACGGATTTGCAACAACCCAACCCTTAAGGAAGGCAGAAAAATCCTCAAAGAAGCAGACTGCAGTGATAAGATGTATTTCTTTGCCAGCAGTTCACACCCAACCTATTCCACCCACTTTATCTACTGTCCCCAGGCAGGACCTAGTAGCTTACAAAAGAGTTACAGTGCTCCTTCCAGGATAGCTCAGCTCGTAGCAGATAGGGTATCTGACACAGAGCAGCAGGTCTCCTGCTAACAGGGAAATATTTCATCAAGGGCATCCCTCAATTCAAGAAGAGCATACAAAGTCTAAATTCTTAGAGAATATGTTGAACTTTCCGTGAAGATGTCATTGGAGAAAACAAACAAAAAAATCCACCTCCATSAAAATTACCACATTTCTACATGAAGCCTCCTTTCCTTATCTGTCAAAAAAACAATAATGAACATCAGAATGAAGGCAGAGGAAGCAGAGTGGGATTTTCAAAACTGCAGTGCCAGCYTAACAACTCACGCTGAAGTTATGTGCATTTACCATGAATTCAGTGTGAGAAGAAATTAGTGCAAAGCCACAGGCTTCCAGGGCAAAAATCTTGCTCTAGACTAGATTTTCACCAGGGGCTAAAAGGAATTTTTAGGTTGCCCAGTGAGGTCCGTGTCAGAGACAAGGACTTACAGTATCTCATAATCAGCTTACCCTTGACTCAAGCTATGCATGCAGGATCCTAATGTTCAGCTCTCAGGTTTTAAAAACTCAGGCCTTTGCAATTAACAAATTGCTGTAGAATATGTTTTGTCCTGGTACTTACCTACTGGTTTTCATTTTAGGAACAACTGATATCAAAAAGCAGACTAGAAATTTGTGTTCCTAGAATTCACTTAATGGAGCTGTCCCTCTGCTCCCATGAAGACCAACCCAAGGACCTCTCTCCCCACGTACCATTTCTTGTACTTGGGATACAGCTTTGGATCATGCTTGTCACAAGCTTCTTTCAGGGTCTTGTGAAAGTGCACAGCATCCTCTTTGTTCAAGTAAGTTGGAGTCAGGTCAGTTCCACCACCAAACCACCACTGCTTAGTCCCTACAGGAGAAGGACAAGCAACATGGATTTATTACCTTCCAAACAGAAATACATTACAAGAGGTTTGCTAAGAGAACTAACAACTGTTTTCACAATGCAAAGTTCTTTTCTCAGTTTGTATCCACTCCCTTGCGAAGTCATGAAAAATTCTAGTTCAAGGTAGTGTGACAACCAGTGTCTGCAGGAAAACATGAAGCACATTTCAATGCAGTGAAATGCATCTAATATTTTTGGACAAGTCACTCAGACTACCAGATGCTACAGGATGCCAGTCTCCTAAGATGGGGGGCTGGCAACACCTACTGTCACACTGCTCATTGATTACACAAGGAAAGAAAACCAGCATCTTTTTACTGCATGCCAAAGAAAGGAAACATCAACATTAAACCAAGGGAAAGCAATTAACTAAGAATGATGCACAGTACTCTTGATAGTTTCAAGAGAAATTCCTTTTGAGCTTCTATCTGAACGACCAGCACAAGTACTGTTGTAAGGTACAGACTGGCACTCCGTGTTACACAACTGCCCCAGGCTTCTGACAATAGCAAGTTGCAGAAATGCAGGGGAAAAAAAAGACTGCAATGCAAGTAGAGAACAATGCTCCTAACAGCACGGCCTTCCAGCTCCTGACACAGGGCACATCCTGAGCAGAATGTTTATCAGCCCTTGACAGCCCTTTCTTCTGATAACTCACAGAACTGCTTCTCTGAATAGATGTTTTACACTGGTTTATAACCACCTTATGTTTTTACTTACATCTCAAGCCTGCATTGTACTTAGCAAAATGTAAACTGCAAGTGCTCTTACTGTAGTACATGCAAGCACTGTGATCACGTTGCAAATGCATAAACAGGATCCTAGAGACAAAGAGACCCAGCACCATACAGCAAATTATTGGCACAGCTGGGAACAAAACTGGACCGTTTCTCAACCTCACACTGGATGGAACAACACATGCTTCCATCATATCAAGTCATACATTTTATAGGTATTTCACCAAGTTCTTACAATTCTTACCATCTGCTTCTTCAATTTCAAAGTATCTGTAGTTGAAATGTACAGTCGGAACGTGAGGATTCTTTGGATGGATAACAGAACTTACACCCATAGCACAAAAAGGCACTTTCCCTAGAGAAAAAGATGATCATAAGTAAAGTTACTCGAAGAGCCTCACTGTTCATCCCCAGCTTCCAAGCTGCTGCTCTGCTATGTGAAAGTTTCTCACACTGTGCCACATATTTATCAATCCAAATACAACTTCCTCCCATACACAAATGTTTTAATGGACTTCAGGATAAAAGTCTCCTCCGTGAGCCCTCTCACCGTCTTTGTCCTTGAGGGTTTTCCTGCTCTTCATCTGCTGCACAGCCTCTGCGGAGAGCTGCCCGAACACCACTGACACGTTGACCCCTGCCTTCTCRAAGACGTTGCCATCCTGCAGCACACAGCTGATGCCGCCGCCACCTGCCAACGTAAGTACCTCATTACCCCACACCGGGGCTACCCCACGCCGGGGCTACCCCATCCCGCACCCCCAGGCCGCCCTTGACCTCCGTGTCCACTTGGTGACCCCATCCCACGACCCCATCCCGTGGCCACCAAGTGCACCGCAAGGCAGCTGTCTCCTCCAGCCCTGCCACCTTGCAGTGCCCGCGGTGATGGCAACGTGACCCACATTGGACCCACATGGGAAASGTGGCCTTAGGGAGCCTTCAACAGCGACAGCAACAGCCTCCTGCAGACCCCCAGTTGGCACTGCCGGTCCCCCCCCCAAGTCACCCTGAGTCCTCCAGGGTCCCCTGAGGTACCCCCAGCTCCTCGCAGGTCACCCCAGGTCCTTCACAGTCCCCTTAAGTCACCCTGACCTGGCACCCCCAGGTACCCCTGGATCGTCCCCAGTCCCTCCTGTCGCCCCCCTCCCCGTCACCCCCGGTCCTCCAGGTCCCCGCACACCCCCTGCCCGCAGCCCCGGGGTCTCCCCGCTGCCCCGACCTTCCTTCCTCTCCCAGGTGTTGACGGTGAAGGCGGCGCCGCCGTCCAGCGCCGCCAGCGCGCGGCACACCTCCGCCTGCGTCTCCATGATGAGCAGCTCCATGCGGCCTCGCATGTCGCGCCGCCGCCGCCACAGCTCCCGCGGGCCGCTCACCGGCGGCGCCATGAAGCGCTGGCACCGCCGCCGCATCTCCTGCTCCTCCTGCTCCTCCTGCTCCTGCTCCGCCGCCGCCATGGCGGCCCCCCGCCAC